TGTAGACACACAGCAGACCTTTCAAAGCAAAATGGAAAATTTTGTATACTATAATTTACTTTTAAAAAAAGGGACAGAAAAAATAGCATTTGTAAGGAAAGGAAACTCAGGGTAACTGCAGTCCAATGTAACTTCTTTGATGTGTACTTAAATAAAAAACTGGATACATGTTATTTGAAAACATAAGTTAACTGCTTTGGGAATGGGTTTCTGGTGAACCCTGAATCTTGTCTTGCTTCAGTCTCTTTGAGGAGCATTCTGGATGGCTGCTTTCTGGCCACAGCTGTCAGAGGCTGCAGAGGGGAGAGGAGGGTTGGAGACCGAGGACCTCCTGGGTGCATGCTCATTTGCCTGCAGGTGCTCGTAGACTGTATCTGTATGCCGCAGGCTGGGTGAGGCGACAGGGGGTGGTAGACCTTGTAGGGAAGTGGGGAGACTGTTCTTTTGTGGGAGACAGCCACTGCCTGGCACCCACATTCACCGTGTGGGAATTTGGGTCACATACTACGGTTTTTTCCAGGGGAAGCCAGAAATGTGAGTTTTACACGAGAGTTCCCAATGTTGTGAAGTAATAATAAAAATTCTTGTTTAGGCCAAACAGACATCCTTGTGTGGCCCACAAACTGCCACTTTGTGACCTCTGGGTGGGAGACTGAATGAGACATGCATTGTCTTGGGGCTGTGGAAAGAGAAAGTTATTTTGCTTTTGGTTTTAATATAAATCCCTGATAGTTCGCAGTCTTTTTTGCTTCTTTTGTTTTTAATTTCATCTGCACAGAATTGATTAATCATTTATGATAGGCTCTCATCATTGATTTGTGTATGGCTTCATTCATTCATTTATTGAAAATAATACCAACCCCGCCACTCAATTCGAAAACTGATTGTGGTGATTACCTACATCCACCTGCGGGCTCCTCTCTCCCCTACCCCCTTTCCTGCCTCCTTCCACCAAGTAATCCATATTTATCACTCCCTTACTTTCCTTTTTAGACAATTTTATCTCATCTTGTGAGCTTTTCAAAGAGTCTGTCCATCCATCCATCCATCCATCCATTTATTGGTTTTAGTTGGATTTTAACTTTATAAAAAGAGTTATAGCGATACTATTTGTAGTTTTGGGGGACTTACTTTTTTCAACTAACAGATGCTGAGATGTAGTTCATTCACTTTGGCTTGTGTGTAATATGCCATCAGCATGTTCCACAGCAGATTCAGTCATTGTCCTGTCTGTGGGGACTTGCCTGTTTCCCGGTTATGTGAGTGGTGCTGCCGTGTACTTTTGTTTATATTATCCCTGGGGATATGAACATAAGCTCGAGCTTCTGCCACTTAGAAGTGGAACTCCTGGGTCAAAAGGTATGTATGTGAATGTTCGATTTTAAGAATTAGTGCCAAAGTGTTTTCCAGTGACATTAGACCAATTTATCCTCCTGCAATTAGGTGGCTCGGTGGTACAAGAATCTGCCTACAATGCAGGAGATATGGGTTCGATCCCTAGGTCGGGAAGATCCCCTGGAGAAAGAAATGACCATCCACTCCAGTATTCTTGCTTGGGAAATCCCATGGACAGAAGAGCCTGGCGGGCTACAGTCTGTGGGGTTGCTAAGAGCTGGACACGGCTGACACAGCTGAGCATGCACACAGGCAGTTGAGTGGGTATAATCATGGCTTTGATTTACAGTACTCATCACTTTGAGGCTGAATACTAGACGACAGAGGATGAGATGGCTGGATGGCATCACTGACTCGATGGACATGAGTTTGAGTAAACTCTGGGAGTTGGTGATGGACAGGGAGGCCTGGCTTGCTGCGATTCATGGGGTCGCAATGAGTCGGACACGACTGAGTGACTGAACTGAACTGACCTTTTATATATTTTCTGGACATATTTTCTCTTCCATGATGTGGTGGTTCATGTCTCTTGTCTAATTTCCCATTGTATTATTTGTGGTTTTCCTACTGATTTCTAGGAGTTGTTTATACATACCTGATTCTAATCCTTTGTTAGTTGTATTTTATGAATTCTTTCCACTTTCTTTATGGTGGCTTTTGATAAATGTTCTTAATTATAATGCAGTCAAAATTATTCATCTTTTCTTTTATAGTGACCACTTTTGGTGTCTTATTTAAGAAATCCTCCCTGATTTCAAAATCTAAAAGATACCTATATTTGCTAAGAGAACTACTTATCACTTATTATCACTTATCACTTACTATAATCACTTATTATATATTAAAAATTATTACTTATCAGTTCCCCCTTAAAAAAATCAGATGTAGGGAGAAAATCTGATTTTTGTTGTATTTTTGTTAGTTGCTGGCAGATTAGACTTGATGTGAAATCATGTTTTCTGACTTGAAATGTATTTTTAGTGCTCCATGGGTCTTTCATTTAAAAGGGGTCACTGCCAATGTTGTTTCCAGACTTTAGCTCATGTGGTGTCTGCAGCCACAAAATAGGGTGGGTCCTTCCTAGAGGACATGGGTTTTCCACACAGTCTAGGGTTCCTGGAGCCCCAAGGAGGAGAGAAGATCTCCTCCAGGCTGAGGAGGGCAGGGGCTCTTTGGGCCAGCAGCATCACTGTGTGGGTTGGTTGAATCGGCGCGCGGTCCTCTGCGTCCTTTCCCGCCCCCACCTGGGAGAGAGTGTTAGAGCGGCAGACTGCTAAGCAGACGTGCGCACGGGGCAGAGGACCGGGCCTCCCGCCACTCGTTATCCGGGGAATGAAGGGGTTGCACCCTCTGAACCCTGACAGACTGGATGCTGATGTCTGATGGAGAGAGGGGCCTCCATGGGAAAGCAAGGCACAAAGGGGTAAGAACGGGTGCCCTGCCCCGTGGGGGAAGCCCCTGAGCCGCAAGCGTGGCTCCAGATGGCTCCATCTGGTGTAGTCCAACCAAGGCCAGTCTTGACTCAATCAGACAGAGCACTCTTTTCTGACTCAGAGCGGTAACTAAGACTGTGGGGTTGAGATAGAAACAAAATGGGAGTGCGCTGGCCCCGGTCACATCCCCTCCCGTCAGACTCAGGAGTTCCTGTCCTTCCCCCAGGCTGTGCTCCAAGATGCTGCCTGAGGGCCAGGTGGACCATCAGCATGAGGTGCCAGTGCCTTATCACAGCTGGGGTGCAGGGGCTGCTCCCCACATACCTGGCCGCCCTCCCCTGCCCAGCGCTCTCCCCCTCTCGCTCCATCTCTGGCTGGGGTGCAGTTTGCCCACCATCATCTCCCTCCTCTTCACTCCTGCCTCCACGCCCTCATTTTGGTGTTGGTCGCTATGCTGACCATCCCTTCCCCAGTCCCTCCAAGCAGAATGGGTAGTTGTCACAGGCTGGGGCCAGAGCTCCTGAATCAGCCAGTGTGTTCTTCCCAAATTGAAATAAGTTGTCTTGTCCTTGGACCCGTCTGCCCGGGGCTGGGACCAAAATCGAAAGGAAAAGGTGGTTTGAGCTGAGTCCAGCCCCACGTTTTCTCTTTTTGGTGGGTGCTCAGCCCTCCCACTTTGTATGCAGCCCATAATATTCAATGCAAACGACTCATTCTTGGTCCTTGTCTAGGAGGGTGGCATAAAGGACCCCAGAGAGCATGCACCCAGATCCCATCAGCCTGCTTAGTCTGGGTCTTCAGGGGCTGACTCCCCCTCCTCCTGTGAGTCCAGAGCACTGACCAGCAGGGAGGCTGGCTGACGGGGGTCCCAGGGTAAGAGGGATTTGCTGCTGCCACCTGTGGACCCTGATCCCTCCATTCCTTCCATTGTCATCTATTGCTGGGGAGGCAGTGAAGCTCCCACGTTAGGGAAATTGCTAAGGTTCATATGTGACTTCCTTCCCAGGAGAACATGATCTCCAGGGAGAGACTTAAGGGCTTGTTCCTCTGGGTGCAAGGCGCTGCCTCAGTGCTGAAAAGGGGCAGCCCATGGGAGCAGTTCCCCAAGCACACCTGCCTCCTCTTCCCCACACGCACCCCACACGCAGGGCCAATCACTTCCAGGCAGGGACCTGGCTGACTGCACGTGTGCAGAGGGGTCTGGTTTTGTTGATGGGAGATGGCCTGGCTCCTGGCCCCTAGAGTGATCTAGCACAACATCAGCCCATTGACACATTGTTTCCATTCAGCCCTGCATCCAGAAAGTCTGGTTTTCTTTTTAAGCACAGAGGCCTGTATTTAACATGACAGCCCAGTGCAGTATTGAGTTAACTATAAACACTGATGATCCTTCTGGACTGAATCACTATCCACCAGACAAAATGATTAAACTTACAACTTGACTGGTGCTGATCAACATAAATGAAATGTGAAACAGCTTAATGCAGCCACTAAAAACAGCTGGCTCAAGGTCATCTTCTCACAGGTATCCCAGGATGTCAGCTCCACACTGGGGCTCTCTGCACACGTGGGACTGTCCAAAAAAACTTTTACTTTCTCTTTCCTCTCAAATAAATATGGCAGTACCTTGCTAAATTAGTAGGGATAGGCTGGATTATGCTGCAATAACAAATCACTCCAAAGCTCAGGGGCCTGAAACGGCAAAGGCCAGTCCCTCATTTTGCTGCATTTCCAGAGCTGGCCTGCAGAGGGAGCTCTGCCCATCATAGAAAGTCGGGACCTAGGCTGGCAGAGTGTTTAGTATCGTGAAACTCGCCAGTTGTCCTATGGGGGAAAGGAATGCTTCTTGCATTAGTGATCCAGTGTCTGGGACTGGAAATCATATATGCCCCTCTGTTCTCAACTCAGTGGCCAGAGCAGGTGACACAGCCCCAAGTGCCACAGGGTGCCAGCCAGTGAAGAAGTAATGTCTGGTGAGCAACATCAGTGACACGCACATTTGTTCAAAAACTGGCTAGATTTTAAACAAATCCATGGGATCTGGTGATTTAGTGCGATCTTGTCATCGACATGACTGAGCGACTGAACTGAACTGAACTGTCATGGAATGAAGAATAACACCCCCACAGCTTGTCTATTTCTTTAAGACGTGTAACCTGCTTCCCTTGTGGCTCAGCTGGTAAAGAATTTGCCTGCAATATGGGAGACCTGGGTCCGGTCCCTGGGTTGGGAAGATCCCCTGGAGAAGGGAGAGGCTACCCACTCCAGGATTCTGGCCTGGAGAATCCCATGGACTGTACAGTTATGGGGTTGCAAAGAGTTGGACACGACTGAGCGATGGTCACATCCAAGCTGCCCTGAACACACACATTTCAGGGGCTCACACAATCTCTGGATGCATGAAGAGAGTGTGGAGTGCCCCACGTTCTCCCCATATTCTCTCCTCAAACTAGCAGTGAATCCAGCCACAGTAATCACACCTGGATGCATAATCTCTAACTGGGCAAATGCATTGTACAGGTAGTTAAGCCAGAAGGGAAAAGAATGGTTCTTGATTTATATCACACATCTTTCCAATAATTCCTTTCCTTGAGGACCAGGACTGGGGGTGCATTCCACGTGGTCCCCTGTCCCTGGCGGAGGCTGGGCAAGCACTCTGCTCTGCCCAGGGTGGCCTTGGCTGGGGGCCCTGGGCTGCAGCCGGCAGCAGTGCAGCTGGCAGCAGAGACCAGGAGGGCACAGCACGCAGCATTTGGGCTGCTTGGGGCACCACGGCTCAGACTCATGCACGTCTGTAGAAAGGTTATTTCAAAGTTGTTTTTTATTCAACTGTTATTCAGCAATATACAGCACAGTTTATAAACGAGTATCTGACCTTGTTTCCAATCTTTATTTAAAAATAAATATTATTGACAGTGAATTTTAATTATGATAAGATGTATCTTTTTTAATCAAAATGTCTCAAAAGAAATAATTTAATAAAAAAGAAAACCCCCCAAAGAAAAAAGTAAATTAAAAAATTTCCTAAACGCAATAATCTACTAAAAATATTTTGCTTTGTCAAAAAGGCTTTGACCCGACATTTTTACATAGTATCCTAAAGATAACTGCTCAACAGTTCGTGCAAAATGAAGACTTGGAAGAAAAGTATGAAAAGAAAAATACATTAAAATAGAGAAATCATTGATCCCATGCATACTGCACGGCTCAAACTCCATCTTATTTGGAAACTAGATGCATTACTTTAGGTGGTCTACATTTGTGTAACTTCCCCCAAAAATATGGTTTATTTGCTTTCCATGTGGACTTGGTCATGCGTCTCTGAGTCTGTCTGTGTCCATCTGGTGACGCGGTCCTCACCCAGGGACTGGGCAGCCGTGTGGGCCGCTCAGGAGCACAGGAAGGTGAGTCTGTCAGGGCCCCACCAACAGGTGCAGGAACTCATGTAGGGCCAACAGGAACAGAGACAGGAGCGGGTCTGTGGCATAGTTCGGGCCGGTGCCTGCAGGGGACGAGAGAAGGGGCAGGGTTCTCTCCTGGAAGCTGGTGGGGTGGGGAGGGGTGGGGCGGGGACGGATGAGAACCCCCCCGGTGGGCTGTCACTGTGAGTGCCCTGCTGGTACCCTGCCAGACGCAGCTGCCCTGCGGCGGCTTCCTCTTTACCAACTGCACAGGAGCCCATTCGTGGTCCAGACACGGGGTGCCCCTGCTTGAAGGGTGTGTGCTAGACAGCAGATCCCAAGTCCAGGCATTATTTTAGTTGAGTACGAAGACAGGGTGCTCCCTCTCCACTCCTGCCCCCAAGACTACACTGCAAAGTGGCCTTGGTGCTTAAGGCCCACTCCTCCAAGAGACTCCCTGATCGCACACAACTCCATCCCCTCCAGCTCCTGCCTGAGCTTCACAGTCCTGTACTCACAGACACCCTGCCTGAGGCATCCTGAATGTGTGAGTCTTCTTTCCACAAACCGTCAGCCCAGCCCCTGGGGTCAAAGTGGGGCACTCAGCAATCACTGTTTGGTGGAGGTCAGTGGGCTAGGGCCCCCCAGGAGTGATCCTTGCACTATCCTGACGGGAGGTCACCCCCATCTGTGTCTTCCATGTGACCTCTAACCCAAGCCTCTGGCCCACTCCTGGGACCGTGACATACTGCCTTCACCCTCCTCACCCAGGCTGCCTGCCCGACTCCCCATCTGTCAGTCATCAGCACTTCATCTGTTTGGGAGGCCTCTTGTGCAGCTCGGCGGAAGCCCACCCACGAGCCCCAGGCTTCTCACCGGGGGTGGGTGCTCCCTCCAGGTTGTTAAGAGGAACCAATGTACAGGTACCACGCACGCCCCGGTCCTGCCCAAACCGTGTGACATCACTGCCAACTTGCAAAGGATCGGGCTGTATCCAGCCACACCCTGCCTACCTGTACCGTATGGAAACCTCTCCTCCCTTCACCCCGCCTAGCCAGCTGGGCTGGAGCCCTGTACCCTGAGGGGAGGTGCAGAAGGCCCTTCCCAGTCCGTGACCATGCACAGAGGCTGCGGCCCCTCCACCTGGCTGCCTGCAGGAGCTGCCGCCAGCCCGGCCGGGTTTGTGCTTCCCTGACAAGCCTGGGCTTCGGCCCCTGACTTCTTCCCTGCTCCAGGGGGAAGAGCCATTTGTCTTTCCTGTCCAAGGTGTTTCCCTCATTCTTGTGACCTGGGCCCCAGTCTCCCCTCTGTACAAGGAGGGGCTTGGACAAATGATCCAGGGCTATCCTGGCTTGAGATGCCAGGATTCCATCTGTTCGTTTGAGGAAACGAGGGCTGTGTTGGAAGATCTGGAAGAAAAGAATGCAGAGGCCATCTGCTTGCCCGTCCTATCCAAGGTCGACGTTTCTGAACCTAGTCCTGAGCCCCCGCTGAGAAGCACAAGGACAGGAGGGTCCAAACGGGTAACCTTCCCTTGCAGTACCAATTTTTCACACCGTCACCATGCCTGGCCTCCTGTGCAGCGTGACCCGAGTTGACAAACCCTCTTGCTCCCCCTCATCAGGAGGACCACAGTGTGGTCACTCCAAAGGCTTGGGTCTTCCTTTGCTGCTCCTCACGGCCATGTGTCGCTGGGAAGGACAAGGGTGGATGTGGCAACAGACTAGCTGATGGAAGCCCAGATGGCTGGGTGGACTCACCGGGGCTCAGAGGTGTGGAAACGGAGTGACCAGCAGGGCACTGGCTCCTGGGCCCACGGGGCTCACGTGGCCAGACCAGCCCCACTGGCCTCCCCATCTTCTGGTGCAGACCTTTCTGCTCCTGCAAACTCTGACACTCAGGCCCGTGCAGGCAAGACAGAAACAAGTGTGTGAGGCACTTAAAAGCAGATGTGTGTGTGCAGTAGGACACATCCAGATCCTCAAGGCACGCTGGGCCAGGAGGCATGGCAAATGGGCTGCAAGCCAGGCAGGGTGAACGCTGCAGAACTGTGGGCACAGGAGACTGGAGAGGAAATGTTAATTTGCCTCTGAGTACTGTCGACTTTGTCTTTCCCACTACTGCAGTCTCGCCTACTCATGTTTAAAAGTTTTAAAATTGCAGAAGACTTGCAAACAACCCTGAACTGAAACAACCACCCTGCTCCTGGGCTGGGCCAAGCAGGGAGCAGCAGCGGCTGGGGAGTGGGTGGCCCCCCGGGGGCCAGTGCCTGGGGAGCGCAGACAGCAGGGTCGTCCGTGTCTCTGCTTGAGGATGTCTGGGTCGGGGGAGCCGCGTTTGGCTCCTGGGTGGCACGTCATCATCTCCCTGACCCCGCACTGCCACGGACGGGACCCAAGGAGGTGGGATGGGGTAGTGGGCTGGAACCAGGACAGCTTCCGGGCCAGGTTGCTGTGGGACCCATGCAATACCCGTCACCTCTTTGGGTCCTGGGGCGCACTCCATAAAATGCAGATTGCACACGCATGGCGCCATGAAATGAGTATGTGCAGGGCACGGCTCCCCAGGCTAGGTCCAGACTAAGCAAGATGACAGTGGTAGATTGCAGAAATGGCTACAAACGCCCCTCCTCCCTCACCTTCTGTGACACTGCCCTCGCTCACTGATGAGGCTGGCCACAGGACTTGCTTTGGCCAATGGACATTATCGAGCGTGAAGCAACAGCAGCTTGAAAAGCGCACTGAGGCTTCCTCTGTGGCTCCTGGAACCCACTGCCACGTGAGAAGACTGGGCTGGCCCGGGGCAGGGTAAGAGCCAGGAGATGTCCCAGCCGGCCCCACGTGCAAGGGCAGACGACCACAGGTGCATGAAGGAGCTGACAGACACCAGCATGAGAAACACCCACAGAACCATGACCTGAATAGATGGCTGACCGTCACATCCAGGTCAGCACGGTTTAGAGTCAGAAGCTCACTGATAGATACAATCATGTAAAAAAAAGTGCCTCAGACAGAGTAAGAGCCACGTGAATAAAATGTTAATGAAAAGGACAACATAATTACTTTTCTGAAAAGTGTTGCAGAAGAACCAATTTTGAGGACTGTCCTCCTGAGAGAAACATTTTCCAAGATGGAATAAACAGAATATCTTCCCAAGCATTTGTGTTCAAGACAGACGATGCCCCTGGGTCTCTGAGGGGTGGAGGACTCGGGTTTTGGAACCTCTTGCTGCATGCCTCAGAAGATACTCAGATAAGCCAGGGTCGACCAGGGAAGGCAGGCTTCTGGGCTGCTCCTGGAGGCAGAGGGGCCTTCACCGCAGGACGGGTCAGAGCTCGGGGTTCAGTGGAGGCAGAGGGGCCTTCACCGCTGTCCAGTGGAGGGGCCTGGGCAACCGTCTAGCAGCTGGCTCCCCCTACCCGCCCCCGCCCAAGCATCTGCTGCCCTAGTCCACGTCCTCACTGTTTCCTGGAGCGGGGAAGGGCTGTCTGCCCTGTCCAGGGCTCACCCAACCCTCCAGAGCAAGGACCAGGAGACTGCCTCTGGCTCAGCTGAGGCAGGGCCTCCTATCCTGGCCTCCTGTATCATCGCTGTGGAGAGGTCGATGTTCCCAAGGACATGCGGGCTGCTGTGATGACTGGTTACTAACAGTCTATTTCCTCCTTTCCTAAGAGGGCCAGGAAGAGCTCTGCAACACGAAGAAGGTTATGTTGTGGTTAAGTGGGAAAATTAGGCTGCTCGAGAGGTGAGGGAAGCATCTGATGGAGTAGTAGCTGATTCACTCTTTATATTAAACAAATAGCACTGTTTTGCCAATCATTCTTACAGAAATCAAAGCTGCTCTGTGAATATTAACTTTTATTGTTTGGGTGGCAAGTGGGTAAGACTCACACCAGAGCCATTTTCCAAAGAACACTGTGGGTGCACCCAGACCCACGGGCTTAGCGAAGGCGCCAGTTCGAGCAGCTTCCACTGGAAAATCCTGCTTCTCTATTTACCCAGCAATGGCAGAATTCCAAAGGCCACATCAGAAGACAACAGGGAATCTCTGGGGCCATTTATCACCTCATGATGGAAGTGAAGGAGGCTGGGCTCCAGTCGCCCTCTGGGATCCTCACTTTGCCCCCACTGGAGGTTCCTGACAGTTGGTTCCTGAGGTGGGGATGCAGAGAACACCCCTACTCTGGCCTGGTCTCCTACAGGCACGGGGAACTGGGGGGACCACCCCCCTCTACAGGCATCAGGACCTTGGTGGGCTGCTCCCCAGCTGATCTGTGGGCGTGGCTGGCCAGGACGGCCACGCCCCCGGCCACCTGCTCCGCCCACACGTCTGGGAGTCTGCAGCCCCTCCCCCCCGCAGGCTTCTCCTGGCCTGGGGGCTGCTGCTGAGGGGCTGGCCTGGGTCAGGAGTTTGCAAAGGTGCCCTCAGAGGCCAGTGCTGCTCAGAGGCTGTATTTTGTTTTGTTTTGTCTTTAGCTTAAAAACTAAAAATTTATTTCAGGTTTGAGTCAGTAAAATTCAGATACGTTTGTGGTCTGGTTCTACACACAAAAATGGCTAACAGGCTGATTCTGGCTCTTGTGACCTAAGCAAAGTTGGAGGTTCAGTCCGTGGGTGACCCCTCAGTGCCTAGCCTTTGCCTCCTCAAGTGCTGCATTAGAATATTCCCATGCTGAACACAGGCAGAAAAGCACTAGTCCAGCCTCATGAGCAGATCAACTCCACCAGTGAGTGTGGGTATCCTAACATCCGGACTGTGATGGAGGTCTGGAGGACAGGTCCCTCCTCTGTGTCAAGCAGAGCTAGGCCACTTACATCCATTTGGCATTTTGTGCTGTCATAACAAGTTTTTTGAATAGGGGCTTTTTGGCTGAAAATGTTAGAAAACAAAGTGGAGTGCCCTGGATGAGTTTCTTTCAGCATGGCTGTTTGATTCTATTCCTTTTCCCCTTTGCTGCCATCTGAGAATGAGAAGGGGCCAGCCCCAAGCAGCAAGAGTCTGGGCACAGCTGGACTTTGTGGGCTGCACTTGGACGTCCACTCACCGTGGAGGCGGAGGCCTGTCTGCCTGGGGCAGCCAGGAACAGACCGGCTCTTACGCC